GGCATGGCCGGCGGGGCGGGAGGCGGCGGGGCCGGGCTGGCTGCTGAGCGCCGCTCTCGTTGCAGGAGGATAAGATCAACGCGCTCATCAAAGCGGCCGGAGTGAACGTGGAGCCGTTCTGGCCGGGCCTCTTCGCGAAGGTGGGCGAGGGGCAGCGCGGGGGGGCCCTGCGCGTCCGGGCGCTGGGAGGGGGAAGGCGGCGGCGGGAAGCGCCGGGTGCAGGCCGTAAGATCCCGGCAGGGTTTGGGTCGGAGGGACCTTTAAAGGTCGTTAGTCCAATCCCCCCCGACCGGAGCAGGGATTTCCTCAAGGAGACCGGGTTACTCAGAGCCCCGGAAGCTTGAGCTTGAATTCCCCAGGGAGGGGGCATCTACCGCCTCTCAGGGCAGCCTGGTCCTGTGTTTCTCCGCCCTCGTTTAACAAAAATTAGTATCTTCTACCTAGTCTAAATTTACCCTCTTCTTAATTTAGAACGATTACTTCTCATCCTGTCGCTACACTTATGATCAAGAATCCCTCCCCATCTTCCATGTAGCCCCTTTAAGCACTGGGAGGCCGCTATAAAGTCTCCCCGGAGCCTTCTCCAGGCTGAACCCCCCCAACTCTCTCAGCCTGTCCTCACAGGGGAGCTGCTCCAGTCCCCGGAGCATCTTCGTGGCCTCCTCTGGACCAGCTCGAGCAGGTCCACGTCCTTCTTATGCTGGGGGGCCCCAGAGCTGGACCCAGCACTGCAGGGGGGTCTCACCAGAGCGGAATAGATCACAACCAACCAGCAGCTCCTCAGCGGTGACGCCGTGAGCAATAGACCCTTACAAATTCAGCTTTGAAACGCTACCTTTAACGAATGTAAAGAGCACTGAGTTATGGTGACTCCTCCGGTGGGAGTGAAGCAGCCCGCTGGTCTGTCACGCTGCAGTTCCACCACCGCCCTCATGCCGTGACGGAGCGGGTGCGCAGGGCTGGAGCCAAGCTGCCCTGCCCGCCCGGTGTTAACGAGGCTTGTCCTGCTGCTGCTTGTCCCTAGGCTCTGGCCAACATCGACATCGGAAGCCTGATCTGTAACGTGGGAGCTGGTGGCGGTGGCGCTCCAGCTGCAGCCGCTCCTGCGGGCGGCGCTGCACCCGCGGGCGGGGCTGCCCCTGGTAAGTGGGATCTCGGGTTGCATCTTCTGCTGGAAGAAACACTTGGTTAATTTAACAAAGCTACTCCTCAGCTTGAGAGTCAGCCTGGCTCTTCCTCTTGCAATGTTAATGTGATCTGTGCTTCACAATATGCATGTGGATGTTCTAGAGCAAACCAGACCCTCACCTTTAGAAATCTGGAGTCAGGGTACAGGATTAGTGTTACCTCAGAGTTAAGGCTGATCTTCCTGTGTATCATCAGGATCTCTTTAAAGTTTTTTTAACTTTGATACAAATTAATTTGGAAGGCACAAACCCACTTTTCTAGTAGCAGAGATACTAGTCTCAGGGTTGTCAGTTTATTAGGATTGCTTGGGTCTTGCTTCTTGATGTCATTTCACTGTGTGTGAAATCTGTTGTGGCAAGTGACTCTTATGAGCTGATAAAAATGTTAAAAACCTGATTCCTTTCTCCTTTTCTAGCTGAGGAGAAGAAAGAAGAGGAAAAGAAGGAAGAATCAGAGGAATCTGATGATGACATGGGCTTTGGTCTTTTTGACTAATTAGTTTTGTACCTGTCTGTAATAAAGACCAATTACTTGTACTCTTGTCTCTTAGTTGAAGCTGGCGAAGGGGAGAGGATGAAGGACGGCTGGGTTATCTGCAGGGATGAACTGCTGGCATTGCATGTTAATCTAGAGCTTTCTTTGTCCTTCATGCTTAACCCAGGCCTAGCACAGTGACAGCTGCAGCTCCAAGCTGTGCTCAGAGCACAGGAACAGAGGGTCGAAATGCAGTTGGTGAGCACGGGATGTGTGACAGCTGCTGCTTGTGCTCATGCTTAGCAGAAATGCTGTGACTTGGCTTGGTTGAAGCTGCAGTGGGTCTTGTTAATGGTTGAGCTGCAGTGCAGCCTCTGTCATCCTGGGCAGTTTCTAGTACCAGGTAGTTTCACCTGTGCAGGGACTGGGCGTTTCACAGCTGAGGACAGTTGAGCTGAAAAGTGGGGAAAATGCTGCAATTCTCAGGTAAAAGCCCTTGCTGGAAGCTAAAGCAGGGATATTACTTATTCATGAGTAGTTAAAATTTAAAAGCAGATTGAGTCTTGCAGTGCTGGGCACCAAGCCCAGGCTGTATAAGGTGGGTATTATTTTTGCTTTTCCAGGAAAAAAAGGAGCATCTCTGAAAACTGCTTTGAAGGGTGGGTGTGGAAGATTGAAAGGAGTAAGTCAAAAAGTGTTATTTCTAAAATAACTCCCGAACAGGACTTTTCCAGAGCAACTGAACGAGGAAATCTTTCAAATGTATAAAGCATTAAATGAAAATTGTACATGAGTGGAACGATGCAACTGTGTAAGGAGGGCTCCAGCGTTAAGCAGGAGGGTTGTTCCACAAGGAGACCAAAAATTGACACTCTGCCCTGCCCCATCTTCCCACAAAAGGAGCTCGGGCACCTGAGGAAGAATTTAGTTAGTCCATGCAAGCCCCTGCTGCTGCTCCCAAAACAGTTTGTGCAAACCACTCAACTGCTGCATTCCCCCACCCCTTGAAGAAACCTTCCCTAGGAAAATGATTTAATTTAGAAGTCTAAAGGAGTGACACAAGGTACTCGCATAGATGCTAACACTGACATGTTCCCTGTGCTCCACAGCTGGAAGAAAAACTGCTTTGTGGAAAACTGCTGAAATCTTGGCTTTTCTCCTTAAACACTTAATGTTGCTCCTTAAGTCCTGCGTGAGTAAATTCTGAAAAGCTTGCCAAGCACAGAGAGAAGTTTTGGGTGGTTTGTTCTGCAGTTCACATGCCCATGAAATAATACAATCAGAATGTCACTGGTAACACCTTTTTAATAGGTCAAAGTAACTGTACAGTTCATTATATTCTTCCTGAGAATAATTTATATCCCTTAACAGCAAAAAGGGAGTGTGGTTTTTTTATTTTAACAGAACAGATGGCATAACTGGAAAACCAAGGAAAATCTAATTACACTGCTCTACTGTAACTCCTCCCAGGCAAGATAGACAAAAGGATGGGTTAGTTAACTACAGTGGGTTTAAAATATTCAACATGGCTTTAATCTGTCTTTATAAATTATATAAAAATGGGGGACATGAATGGTTACGGAACTCCTCTAAATGCAGCTCTGAATTGCTCTGGTACAAAGCAGCATTTTTGCTTCCAAGGAAAACAACATTGCTACAAAAGAACTGGCACGTTATTCTGGTGAAAAAGATGAGAGTTTTCAGTTGTGTTCTACAGCTAGTTCCAAACAAATGCTTCACACATTCACATAAAAGTAAAAGGCAGGAAGATGAAGAGGGCTTTAGTTTGTCTTGAAATGACTGAAGTCTTGAAAATATAGCTTTTTATTCTTTCTCTGTAAATTGTGATTAGCATATTGCGACGTAAGTGTTCTAATAAAAAAATTCCAGTCTGGATAGTTCATATACTGTGGGCAAGAATTCTCAGCCCTGAGGTTTCCCCGAATTCTTCACAATATCTTTCTCTCCACGCTGCTCCATCGAGTTTTGGCTCCGAGACCGTAACTCTGTGGCAGCTCTAGGCTGAGCGTGGCCCATGCCACAGCATAAAACTGAACTGCGCTTCTGTAGCCGCCATTGCCCGAGGATTTCTGTACAAACTTCATCGTGTGATAATGCCGCTCTCTGAATCCCAGACCAGCTTGGCTTTATGATAAAAACACGGTTAAACTTTTGTAATGAGAGAGAACCAGCAGCGGTCAGTCAGGTCTGCTGAAGCAAGAGGCGCTGGAAAGCCAGGACTACACTGGGTTAATCCTCACTGCTGGTGGAAGGTGAAGTAACACCCTTTTGCAAGCAGAATTCTTCGGCTGATGAACCTCTTCCCTCAGTACTTAGTGCGGTCTGGACTGACTGATCATTTTCAGTCTGGCTTGATCAATAACATCCAGCAAGTTTTTGGCATCCACAGCCAAAGCGTGAGCAGCTGTCAGCATCTGCTTTTTGTACTCCTGCTGCAGACTGGTCATGACATACTGCTGGGCCAGTTTCATCTTGTTAATGAGGTCGGCCAAGTCTGAGTTCAGCAGCTTCTGAGCCATCTCGATCTGGAACAGGAATCACAGAATCATGTAGGTTGGAAAAGACCTTGAAGCTCCTCCAGTCCAACCATGAACCTCACCCTGACTGTTCCCAACTCCCCCAGATCCCTCAGCGCTGGGTCAGCCTGACTCTTCAACCCCTCCAGGGATGGGGACTCCCCCCTGCCCTGGGCAGCCCATTCCAACGCCCAACAACCCCTTCTGCACAGAAATCCTTCCTCAGAGCCAGCCTGACCCTGCCCTGGGCAGCTTGAGGCCATTCCCTCGGGGCCTGGCGCTGGGGCCTTGGCTCCAGAGACTCATCCCCCCTCTCTGCCCCCTCCTGGCAGGGAGTTGCCGAGGGCCAGGAGGTCTCCCCTCAGCCTCCTCTTCTCCAGACTGAACCCCCCAGTTCCCCCAGCCGCTCCCCAGCAGACCTGTGCTCCAGACCCTGCCCCAGCTCCGTTGCCCTTCTCTGGCCACGCTCGAGTCATTCAATGGCCTTTTTGGGGTGAGGGGCCCAGAACTGAACACAGGAATCGAGGGGCGGCCTCACCAGTGTTGAGTACAGGGCTCAGATCCCTTCCCTGGGCACACTGCTGGCTCCTGTTGAGCCGGCTGTCAATCACCCCCCAGGTCCCTCTCTGACTGGCAGCTCTCAGGCTGCTCAGGAAGGTTCAGTGTTGAGCTGCACTCACAGCAGTGCTACTGCACAGTAACTGCGCTCCCACCCCGCCTCAGCAGACCCTGCCATCCCTGATGGAGCTGGGGCCGTTTTTGCCTGCACCACGTGGGGCAGATGGAATTTTGGCACGGGGTGCTTGACAGCATGTCCCTGTGTCTGCTGTTAAACAGCACCACCAAGCCCAATGGCTAAGAGTGGATTTTAGCCCATGTCTTAAGAGTTAACACCTTGTTACAGGTTTACAGGTCCCTACTGTCATCTTTTCATTACTATTATTAAAGTAGCTCTAAAGCATAAAAGTAGGTCTAAAAAAATAAGATGGCGGTCAAGAAGGCAGACACAGGTTACTTAACAGAACCACAAAGCTAAGTCAGGATGATTCTCTGAGCTGGCACTTAACCATTCTGCAGGTTTCTCATTATCAAACTGATTTTCTGGAGGAAAAACCTTAAACTGAGGCTCTGGAGGAAAGTGTTTTTACTCCTGCCTAACAAACTTCACTGGAAGATCTCAGTTCCTTCTCATCCAGAACTAGGTTACTACAGGATGCCTTCTCATCAAAACCTTGCAGCTGCACCCAGCTACGCTCCGCCACCTGTTTAATGACTGTGTGTGAGCGGCGGTTTAATGAAAGATTGTGCTTGCACTTAAGAATTAACTCCCAGATGCATCAGAATGCTGGTTTTGTGTAAGCACAGATAACGGGTTTTATGTCAACTTCCTAGGGCTGTGTGCTCTACACTCCTCCATTATACCCAGTTCGAACATCTTCACTTAAGTCCATACAAGCCTGTTTCCATGCAGCAACTCTAATAAAATTTATTTCATGTAGAATTATAACGCCAGACTGCTGAGTGAACCAAAATGTCTGCATCTGTGAAGGAGAGTGAGCCAACACCTGTCCTGGCTGGGGCTAACCTCAAAGGGAGTGACTGAGCAGTAGGTGAGTGCAGCTCCACGTACCTCTCTGTGGGTGCTTGCAGGAAGCACTGGGAGGGTCTCGTCTACTGTTGCCAGTAAGGTTCTTAGTGCCAAACCGACCTCCTAAGAAAAAATAAGATTTAGGAAATAAACTTCAAAAACGTAGAATGAACGGAGGGGAGAACTGTAGGAGTTCAGGAAGCAACAGATACACTGAATTCCTCGTCTGGATAAAAAGGGAGTTCTTGGATGAGAGACTTCAAAATTCCACCTGCAATTCTGTGTTTCACCACCAAAACAAGATGCCAAAGGGTTAAAAAAAAACAAGGAGAAGATTGTGCACAACTCCCTGCCCCTGGATAAGCACAGGCAAGCTGGGGAATAAAAGCACCCTTGCCCACAATACTGTTAACAGTATCCAAAGCTCCAGCCCTCTGACCACCAGTTAACCTGCTCTGCAAACACAAAAAACTTTTCTCCTTCCAAACCTTCAAAAAGTTTTTCCTGCGCCACTCATTCGAGAGAGAAAAAAAAGGCTGATTTGAGGAACTGGCTCCGTACCTTTACCATGGGTACGTACTCCTCCGGTGGGGCGGGCTGTATTTTACTGGACATTTCTATAACGGCTTTCACCAGCCCGGTGACGTTCTCGTAGACTTTGTCGTTGGAGCGGTCCAGGTTGGCTGTAGGGGGAGGGCTGATTTCCTGCGGCTGAATCTGGAAGCAGAGAGGGGTTGTTTAACCTCCTGTCCCCAGCAGATGGGGCTCAGCAGCTTCCCAACAGCCGTCGTATTCGCAACAGCTCCCCCCGCCCCGGTCCCCTGTCCTGGCTCAGCACGCTCACTCCTGCACCTGAAGGTTTCCTTTAGTTCTTCTGACTGAACCTGATCTGTGAAATGACACTGGGGAATTTTTACCAGGATTTCCCTGAAGAGCT